CAATGACATGGGGGAAAGTATATGCAAAGAAAGTTTAAACGATAACGATACACAAATTGAAAAGAATAATATAATTGAGATTGACAGCGACACTAATAGTGAATTTGATTTCAACTGTGAGCAGTGCTCGAATTGGGGGGGGACGCAGGGGGACGGAGCTCCCCTTCAAATTTTAATTTTTTTTAGCGTACCCCTTCTTATATTTTTAATTTGAACGGGGGGACGGTACGTCTTACGTGTAAATTATTATTGAAAAACTTATAAAACGTTTATTTATAGATATTTATTATGTATTATCAATTTGAAAAAAAATATGCGATAAATTGTAAATTTCATTAATGATAAAAATCAAAAAAAAAAGATAATTTATTATTATAATCACGGACCACAGACTATAAATCTTAGTCAGTTATTATAATACAGGCTTACATATACTGATATACTAATAATGTGTATAAATAATGTATATTATATCGAGATTAAGATTAAAAATTCATGTTATCGGATGGTCGGTAACACTGTAAACAGTACCTATGTAGTTCATAATATCTATGTCTAATAATAATTATAGCATTATTGTTATGCTCATGAGTTGAGGTCGGTGTTTATCGATTATTGTTTAATTATAACATTTCTTTTTGTACACTACTGCAGTACTGCTTATCAATTGTATAATATATAAGATCTACGAAGACTAGAATATTCTTGTATTCATGATAAAATCTATGACTGCACTGCCATCCACAAGATAATAAACGTTGGTTAATTTATGACATGTGTTTAATAAATTATTGTACTTACTAAAGTGTACTGTATACTTACTAGTAACTAATAAGTAAAAAGTAAAAATGGCTTCTAAACCAAAAAAGCTTTGCAAATCCGGTATTTACTCTTATTTTAAAGTAAGTACCAAGTTAATTGGCTAAACTAAAACTTTATCATTATTTATATTTCATGAAAATGTATTACTATATTTTTAAATTGTAGAAAACCAATGAAAAACAAAAAGAAGAAAACACATATGTTGAATCCCTTGATGATGATCTTGGGACAAATGAAAATACCAACATTCAGGTATTATCGATTAAAAATTTTCTCATAATTTGATTTTTATATTTCTATAACTTGTTAAAGATTTATTAATATTTTTTATACCACTAATAAGAGTCAAACGGCATGACATATTTTATTAAGATAAAATGTCAATCCGGTATTTAAATATAAAACATTTTTGCTATTGCTATTTTTATTTGCTTACTTTGTAATTAAAATAATAGAATGAGCATCATGTGACAATTATAAGGCTTTTGCATTTTTTTTATAAATGTATAATATTAAGAGTTTTCAATTTAATATTTCTTTTTTTCATTTTAGGTTGAAGTTGATTCAGTTAAAAGAAAAGTATCAAAAGAAAATGAATCAAATAATATAGCTATTTCTGAAGAGGATCATCAGGTTTGTAAAGTAAGACTTTGTACATATTACAATTATTATTAGTTAGGTATTTCAAAAAAATGTATGACCAATTTACTAATTTTGTAAATAAGCAGCATAACTGAGTGAAATGGTCACTCATTGAAATTGCACCTTAGGTATAATTGCACCCCTGGCAAATGCCTTGTTGCCAGCACCTAGCTATGTCTCTGATTCTGTTTAAAAATTTTAAACAAGTAAATAAAAATAATTACACATTATTAAATAAATATAAGTAGGTACTTATTATGATTTAAATGTTTAAATTAACATTATTTGGACCTTTTTTTTCTAGTTGTATAATTGCATAAAATTTGTTGTTATTTACAGGAATTGGAACCAGATTTAATGTTGACTTCTTTTAGAGAAAAACCAAAATGTTGGGATGACAAACAATTAAAATATTTCACAGATGAGTACCCTTGGCTTTATTTTAAAGAGACTAAATTAGGTTGTCTTATTTGTAAAAAAGTAAATTTTAATTTAACAACATGTCATGGGGCACATTCTTCTAAAGAATGGATAAATGGTGAGGTGGGCGCTGTAGGAACTGATGATAGTAAAATGAAAGCCAATTTAAGAAAAAAAATATGTAAGCATAAAAACTCACAAGCTCATTTAAAAGCCCAACAAATTATTGATAAGGGTTCATGTGAAGTTTTACCTGGACAATTTTCCAAACTTTCAAGTTTAGAACATGAAACTACTAGAAAAGTTTTCAGAACTGCTTACTTTATAGCAAAAAATCAACGACCATACACAGATTTGCCTAAACTTGTGGATTTACAAACCGTTAACAGTCTAAATATGGGTAGAATTCTTCATACTGATAAATCTTGTAACAGTATAATTGAACATATTTCAGTAGAAATTAGGATTAAGATTTGCAATGATATCATTGAAAATCAAAGAAAATTTTGCATTATTGTTGATGAATCCACAACATTAAGTCAAAAAACAATGTTGGTTATTTGCCTAAGAACTGTAGTTGGACCAAATAATGAAGTCATAACTTTTTTTTTTGATATCATTGAACTAACAAACACATCTGCCGATTCAATCAAAAACGCTATACTAACAAATCTTTCATCTCATGGACTCAACAATAATTTTCTAAAGTTAAATCTCATTGCATTTGTGAGTGATGGCGCGTCATCAAAGTTGGGTCGAATTGCTGGTGTTGGAGCTCAATTAAAAAAAATGTACCCGAATATAGTTATTTGGCATTGTTGTAATCATAGGTTAGAACTCGCTGTATGTGATACCTTAAAAGAAGTTAGTGGTATTAATAATTTTCAACTGTTCATTGAAAAATTGTATGCTCTGTATCACCAATCGCCAAAAAACATGAATGAGCTTCATATGTGTGCTGTATCTTTGGAACATAACTTACAACGTATCGGGAAAATTTTTACAATACGATGGGTTGCATCAAGTGAAAGGACAATAAAAGCTGTATGGAACAACTTTCCAGCACTATACCAACACTTCACAACTGCTGCCAATGATGGTTTAAGAACTTCAAAAGAAAAGTCAAAATACTTGGGACTTAAAAGACATTTGGCGTCAATAGAATTTGTCACCAATCTTGATAAGTAAATTTTTTATTTTGGATTTAAATTGAATTAATTATAATCTAAACATGTAATTTAATTAGATTTTTTTCTGTTATGTTATAGGTATAATGTATGACGCCTTATGTGAATTAGCTGACTTGTCTACATCACTCCAAAATAGAAGTCATACATTGACTCAAGCAAATTGTTGTATTCAACGTATAATAATGGTTTTCGACTCAATGGCTGAAAATTATGGTCCTAAAACAAAAGAAGCTATTGATTCATGTGAAAAACAATTATTTAAAGACATTCCACTCATTACTAACAAAGCTATACCAAAGATAAATCCATTGCAGTTTTTTAGAAGTCTATCTAATAACTTACGAAGTAGATTGTTCACAACACAATCATCAAACGTATCTATGCAAGGTAATGAGTTTAAAAATATATACACTCAATTACTTAATGACTTAGATGTATTGGACCCAAAAAATTGGCCAGATCAATTTGATATACAATATGGCGACTCTGCAGTAAGAAGATTAGCCAATGTGTTTCAAGTTGATGAAAGATCTGCGATAAATGGATTTCGGGAGTTTAAAGATCTCAAGGATAGTTCAACAGTTTTAGATTTAAGACCATTATTAACTGCAATTAAAACTGTAGCAATATCATCCAGTGAATGCGAAAGAGCTTTCAGTTCAATGAACAATATAGTTACTACTAAAAGAAATGCTTTGAACCCGACAAGTATTTCTTCTCTCATGTTGATTAATTGTGTAGGGCCACCAGTGCACATGTTTGTACCTGAGCCTTATGTTGTATCATGGATACAGAAAGGCAAACGATGTGCTGATGAAGTTAACTGCCCTAAACGACAAAATATTGAAGTGAACCATTCATATGTAGAGCTATGGAATATATTAAAAATTTAAATAATGTATAAAATATGTTAAAATAAAATAAAAGATTTGTTTGTAATTTAATAATATTTATTTATTGTTGTAGTGTAACCTTTGTTTAATTTTAATGATTGTTTGACTTGTGTTGAAAATACTACATGGGGGGTGTGGGGGGCGAAGCCCCACACGGGTTAGTTTGGTTTAAATCATTGAGTGGAACGCTAAATTTTTATAAGTCCTTTAGCACCCCTTCTATTATATTTCCAATTCGAGCACTGCTTGATATATTATGGTATAAGCATCATAATATGCACAATAGGCATATTATCATGCTTATAGACGTAATGATGTGACATACGTTACAGTATCAAACCTGCAACTGATATTGATGATTTTGACGCAGACATTGTTCGAAGAACGGTACACGAATTTTATGATCAATGTCAGTTTCCCACATCACAAAAAGTTTTAACTGTTTATCAGCAAAAAGTGAAAAATTATAAGGGATCTAAAATTTCCATGTGGCGCATTCTTAAATCCTTACATTTTAAGTACAAAAAATGTAATGATGGCCGTCGTTTTCTTATGGAACGAAACGATATTGTTGCCATGCGTGTCAAGTTTTTAAGGAAAATGCACGACTTAAAGCAAAATAATGATACTCGTCCGGTCGTATTGCCATATTGCCATAGACAACGTTACCGTAGACAATTGGAAACGTTGTGTTGATCATTGCGAACGTCTTCAAAATGAAGACTATATTAAAGAAGGATTCAGGGACCAGATTTTAGAGCCAAAAGTTTTGACAATTAACCCAGAAGACAGCAGCGAAAGCGAGGATGACAACGATGAATCAGATCAAATGTAAAAATAAATATTATAATGTGTTATAATTATTGTAAATATTAAAATGTGCTATAATATTATTGTAAATATTAATGTTAAAATATCAAAAAAAAATGTATATTTTAGTATATTATAATAAATAATATAATTTATAGTAAAATATATTATACAATAAATAAAATAATTGTTTTTATTCATATTTTTTAAAAACCGTGAAGTATTTCAAATTGCGGAACAAGTCTAGTTTAGCAACCTATCGATTTTTAAGGTTTTTGTTTTCCAAAATGTGTGTCTTGGGGTGCTTAATAAGAATGTAAAAAAAAAAAGGTCGGACGGACTTAGTTTTGAAGTTATCGGTAAAAAACTTCAAAAAGTAGATTTTTTTCGAAATGCGATTTTTTTTCAAAAAAATACTTAAAATTTAAGTTTTTCGAATTTTATTTTTTATCAAAATGTGTAGTTTTTGACGCACAATACATTGGTGTGATCAGAACTTACCTCGTGTACTTACTTTTGAAGTTTCTGTACGTAAACAATGGAAAATAGCATTTTCAAAATTCATCCAAAATTTCTTTGAAAACTTGTTTACAATTAATATTTTTAATACTTTTTTTTTTTACTACATACAGTTCCAGATGAAAAAGTTTTTAGTGAAGTCAGAAATAGTTTATCTCACTTAGTTTCAGAGTTAGAGACATTAAAGGTTTCCTAATTTATGACGTTTCGCAAAAATCTAATATAGGTAAATAGGTAGGTAGGTACAATTTTGCCAAAATAGCATCATTAAAAGCAGAAAACACNGTATACCATATATGTTCACTATTCCTTAGCAGCCTTCCAATTTAGGTGCAAGTCGCAGACGCCAACCTCATGGCAGGAGCGGTTGCGGCGTAAACAATTAATAAATGATAGTTGAAAACATTTGTTATTCTGTATTGTATATTTGATTGTTTCAATAAAAATTATTATTATAATTTTTAGTTGCCCCAAACCACAGATGAATGGCTGAAGATAGCACATGATTTTAATGAAAGGTGGAATTTCCCTCACTGTCCGGGCGCAATTGATGGGAAGCATATTGTTATTCAATGCCCAATAAATAGTGGTACAGAATTCTTAAATTATAAAGGAACATTTAGCATTGTCCTTATGGCATTAGTTGACGCAAACTATATGTTCACTTATGTCGATATTGGTTGCCAAGGTCGTATAAGTGACGGTGGGGTTTTTAGAAACACATCTTTATGCCATAAAATAGAGTCAAATGAAATACTGTTGCCATCAGATGAGCCACTCCCCTCAAAATAAGAATTAATGCCTTATGTATTCATCGGAGATGGTGCATTTTCATTGGGGAAAAATATGATGAAACCATACACAGGAGTTTATGAAAAAGGCAGTATCAATAACGTATATTTAACTATCGATTATCAAGAGCTCGACGAATTGTCGAAAATGCGTTTGGTATTATGTCATCTGTTTTTCGTGTTTTCCGAAAACCTATTCTACTGAATGAACAGAAAGCTACAGATATCACAATGACGTGTGTATTACTACACAATTTTTTAAGGAAGAGTAAAACTTCTAAAACAAGTTATTCGCCTCCAGGAGCGTTTGATTCTGATAAAGAAAGCGAATTTTGTCCGGGATCCTGGAGAAATGATCAAGAAGATATGTCCTCGTTTGTACCACTAAGGAGAGTGCCTCGTAGATCAGGACTTGAGGCAATGAGAATAAGGGATTTGTTCGCTGAATATTTTGTTTCAAATGGTGCGGTCACTTGGCAGAACGATAAGTAAAAAAAAATAATAAAAAAAAATGTTACATTAGATTGTGTTTTACTATTTTTTAAATACTTAATTAATTTTATTGAACTAATATTTTAATGCAATTAAAATATATTTTGTATCTTATTACTTCTACATTTTAAATTAAATACAAAATAAATAATTAATCATGTTTTAAGTATTTACTATTGGAGTTGGTGTTAATTAAATATGGAATTATAGAAGTATGTTATATTTTTACAATCTATTTAGTATGAAGAACATGGTAATAATCAATGAAAAACCTCAGATTAATGCGACACGGTAAACCACGATAAGAGTAAAAAAAACGACAAAATTATAATTTTAAATGTTAAGAAAATAAAAGACAAAAATTGTAATTAATTTCAGCATAAAAAAAATATGTCTGGAATATTAATTGATTATTATGATAGCAACCTATGGGTCAACGTTCGAGTTTTGATAAATTGAATTTAATTAATTGACTTTTTTTGTGTGTACGTACGAGTATATACACGACGAGTAGTCGAAAAAATACAAAAATTCACAGAATTTTACGTAAATCCAGTTGATGTTAAAAAATGTTTCGGGAACTCAAACAAATTTTTTAAGAGCGTTTGAAATTAGACATTGGATATTCACCAGTTTTCTCCGGGAACGATTTTCTTATTTTAATGTTAATCAAAAAAAATTACTATAGTCACCAATAAATTGTTCAGATTACCAATTCCTTTACATAAAAAAAATATTAAAATATTTTGATAATTTTTAAGCTATTTATAGGCCTAAGAAATTTTTGGTTTTTTAAAATTTTTTATTTAAAATATCGAAAAAAANCCCAAATTATTATTGTATTTGTACATTGCAAATTATATTATTATTACCCAAATTATTATTGTATTTGTACATTGCAAATTATATTATTATTACCCTAGGAATTATTGTATTTGTGCATTGCAAGTCATTGTATTGTTATTACCCTAGGAATTATTGTATTTGTGCATTGCAAGTCATTGTATTGTTATTACCCTAGGAATTATTGTATCATTGCATTGCAAATCATTATATTATTATTATCACAAGAATTATTATATTATTATATTGTTACCATTGCAAATATTACTGTGTAACTTGTTATACATTTTGTATCTGGTATATTGTTATTATTATTTATTACTATTATTAAATTGTAATATAAACATACAGTCCACTACCTAGTCTCTTTTTATTACTTTCATTATCCATAATTATATTTGTATGAACCAGGTATGCTTGCTATTGCTGCAAGTCCCCTGAAGTAATAACAATAGTTATTATTAATTATGTAAATTTAATGTTGCAATATAACAGTACTTATTAATATTTTTGAAAGTTGATTTATAGTTAAGTGTTTGTATCTACCTACAATAACATGTTGACTATATTAAGAATTGAAGATTTATTTTAATTACATAAATGTATGCCTTGTTACTTAATCTGGATAAATTGGTAAGTATCGATAAGTATAATATTTTGAAGATAATATT